GCCCTGACCTTCAGGGATATTGTAAAGGACCCGGAAGCAGCAGCAAAAGCCTTTGCTAGGCATCTAGCAGCGGCAACAGCAGCAGCAGCAGCAACAGCAGCAGCAGCAACAGCAGCAGCACCTGACGACGAAGCAGTGGGGCCCCTCACGCTGCAGGCGGTTCGGCTGCTGCTGCTGCTTACTCAGGTATGTGCTGCTGCTACTGCTGCTGCTGCTGCTGCATCCGTTGCTCTTGCTGCTGCTGCTGAGTGCTCCACTGCGGCCCAGTGATGAGCTATTTAGGGTTTAGGGTTTAGAGTTTAGGGTTTAGGGTTTAGGGTTTAGGGTTTCTGTCTGCAGGCTGTCGGCCTGAACCTCCCCGCAGTTCCTGCTGCAGCACGAGCAGCCTTGAGCAGCCTTTGCCTGCGTCTCTTATGCAGCAGCAGCAGCAGCAGCAGGAAGAACAGCAGCAGCAGCAGCACGCCTTCTCGGCAGCAGAAGCAGCAGCAGCAGCAGCAGCAGCAGGACATCCTCACCCTTACTGATCTGCTGCTGTCCCCAGGCGCTGTCCACGGGGGCCCCAAGAGCCGCCGCAAGAGCCCCCAGCAGCAGCAGCAGCAGCAGCAGCAGCAGCAGCAGCAGCATTCTGTCCGCACGAGCAGCTGCAACGCCCTCCGTTCTTTCTTTCACTTCGTTGTCCAAGAAGAAGAGCTGCAGAAGGCAGCAGCAGCAGCAGCAACAGCAGGAGCAGCAGCAGCAGCAGCAGTAAGCGGCCTCGCGCTGCTGCTGCCGCTGCTGCAGCTGCTGGCGCAGTCGCCCGCAAGACGACTGAGGCTTGCTGCTACAATTGCAGGTAAGCTGCTGCTGCTGCTGCTGCTGCTGCTGCTCTTTGGCTGTTCGTGCTGCTTCACTTTGCTGCTGCCGCCAGTGTCCGGCAGTGCTCTGCAGCTGCTGCCCATTTGCTGCTGTTTGCTTCTTCTGCTGCTGTTGCTGCTGCTGCAGCTGTTGGCATGCTGAGTGGAGCAGCAGCAGCAGCAGCAGATGTATCGCGCGAGGCCCGCCGATTCCGCGTGCAGCAGCAGCAGCAGCTGCTGCAACAGCAACTGCAGCAGCGGCGACAGCGCAAGCAGCAGCAGCAGCAGGAGCACGTGGAAGAGCAGCAAACAGCTCTTGTGGGCGGTGCGCTGCAGCAGCGGCTTCAACAGCTGGCAGCAGAGGAAGCAGCACTCCAGCAGCTGCTGCAGCAGCTGCTGCGTCTGCTGCAGCAGCGAGCAGATGATGTATGCCCCAGTGTCAGGGCAGAAGCACTCAAAGCATTGGTGAGTTTTGCTGCTGCTGCTGCTGCTGCTGCTGCTACTGCTGCATGTCCTGCTGCTGCTGCCGTCTTGTTGCAGTGGCGCGTATGCTGCTGCTGCACACGAGTCCGTTACAGCAGCAGCAGCAGCAGCTAATCTGCAGAAGCTGCTGCCATAACTCTAGTGTTATCTGCTGCTACTGTTTGCTCTGCTGCTGCTGCTGCTGCGCTTAGGCTGGTGGCTTGCCCTTTGCTGCTCCTTCTTTGGTGCTGCGAAAGGAGACCTTCGCGCTGCTGCTGCCGCTGCTGCGGCAGCAGCAGCAGCAGCAGCACGAGC